TCTCTCTCCTACCTATATCTCTGATACATACTAAGTTCAAAACTTTGCCTAATTTTTGTAATTTTACTTTATCTCAGTCCCTGGAGTGGTTGGGAGTATAATAGAGGGTACATGGCGGACACACGGGCAACCACGCCTCTGCACCGCCAAGGAGAAAGACTGGGAAGTGCTGTGGCTCAGTTTGAAAACCGCATTTGGAGGAAAACCTTTAAAATGCTGGGTAAATTACATTTTTTTAACCGTCCATCGCAATACTTCAACTTGCACGAATCGTCACTAATACATTTCGACGGTGTAAGTCGGCAATCACATAACTCGTTTGAGGTGTCTGAAAATCTCCGGCTCTATGTTTATTTTTTTAAAGGAGAACAAATTGACTTCATTCCTTGAAGTTTTTGCAGAATTTTCTTCGCACCGAGAAGAAAAATCACGGCAGTTTAAAAGAGTTGCCGTTGAGTGGTTTCAGGAAGTCTGCGACGTCGCAAACCGAGTTATGTGATTGCGACTTTCACCGTCGATTTGCATCTTTGTTGTACGATATTCATATTTCTGTCTTATAACCAAGGCTCAAGACGAGATAGGCACCCCAATGCAACTTGAAGTATCCTAAAACCGATTTTTTGTCCGAGGCTTACCGCGCACGTGACAAAGGGACTCATCTGCATAAAAGTTCAATATCGAGATAATGGGGCCCCTAATTTATTCTGTTAATTTAAAAGTCTTTGGCATGAAATACACCCAAAAAGGTCAATCCAAATCGGAGTGATGACGGTTTCATGATTTCAATTGGGACGCACTTCCCCTAAAAAAAAACTTTTTTGGACGAAAATCCTATCCATGTAGTTGGGAAATCACTATTCAAAGCTGTCCAGCTTTTCATGTTCAACTCTTAAACTTGCACATGCTTTAATCAAAAGGAACTATCTCGATTGCATCATGAGACCTGTCATGCATGTATTCTTATGGATCGTAGGGTCCAAGTCAGAATAGATAGAGTTCCTTTTGATTTAAATACGTCCCATCGTATGATTGGAATTGAGGGGCTTGTAGGACAAAGCGCATAAGTGCGGTTTTTGAAAAAATTAAGATATTAATGATTTCATGTGAAACTTTTCTTAAAACTGTGAAAAATTTGCTCTTAAATTCTCATTTTCAAGCATCAAAAAGTCGGTTTGAACTCTTTTTCCGCCGTAAGGATCCATACAATGTCTCTCGAAATAGCAAAAACTACACTTGTGCGCATTTTGCTCCAAGCCCCTCAACTCTGCTTCAGCTGAAAGGTGTCTTCACTTCAAATAACATGACAAACTGAGGAGTCTAGAAAGACGTGAAATTCTTCAGGTTTTCAGGTACAAGCTAATCTACAACCGAACCGCGCACAAGAGCAGCAATCAAGATGGGGTGAAGACGCGAGTGATGGGAGATTTCGGAAGCCTGAAGGCTGTTGAACATTTGACAAAGGATTTGATCACTAGGATTGGGACTGGTTACTTCGATGACATCGGGAAAGCTCTCCGGAAAAGCGGCTACAGTACCAAACGTAACTTGAAAGGGGCGGCCTACGACGGTCGCTATGCACCACGTCAGTAAGATTTTTCTCTGTTCGAATCTACATGCAGCAAATGAAGTACCCCATAAATTGGCTGAGAATGAAAGTATCAAAGCACTTGGACTACATATTGTGATAAGGGACCCATATTTTTAACTCGTTTTAGAAACAGCATTTGGGCTATTCATTTTCTTAATCGGACAGTGCTTTTAGAAAAAATAGTTGCTCCTTGCTGCAAAGTAATAAAGTCCACTCTTAACTGGTCGCTTCCGTGTTACTTGTAAGGGGAAAATGGGGGTCTGAGCTTCCTTTATTGGGTCTTACGAGTGGATGGGAGTTTAGCTTAAGTAAGCGTCTCACATTGATAGAAACCATATTTTTCCAAAAAATTATTTTTTCAAGCTATGTTACAGGCTTGTCTTGTCCTTTTCCGAGAAATCAGGGGAGGGATCAATCCAATCTTACATAATTCTAAAAGGGGTTAAGAAATTTTTTTGTAGGTGGCTTACAAGAGGAGTGTCAAATTTGGTTAAAATACCGTGTTTAAAACTTTAATGGTCCCCAATCTCATCAAAATGTCTTGTAGAAAAAGTTAAACATATCAACAAATTTGAAAATAAATTCACCAAAAAGTAATTTTCATTAGAATCAGTAAACTTTATCTTGTGTCCAATAATGCCGTTGGTACAAGATCTTCTCCCTGTTTGGTGGACTTATAGGAAGCATAGTATTTTTCTTAACTTATTTGATTGTTTGGCATCTCAAAAAACGGATCAAATGAATCTGATTGGGTGCATTAATTGTAATTTCAGCGCAACTAGAAGAAAAGTATGGTTATTTCACGAGCCTAGCAAAATTGGTCGAACAGCTTGCCAATGACTCAGGACGTAAGGTAACACTGGTCTCTCACAGCATGGGTGGTTTAATTGGGTCTCACTTCCTGACCAAGCAACCACCGGAGTGGAAAGACAAATACATTAACCTCTTCGTTCCTATCTCAACACCATGGCTGGGAAGCCCTTTGGCTGTGTCGGGTTTCATCGAAGGTATGTTTTTATGTTCACCAACGCGGACGATTCTCAAAACTGATTACCGTTTGTTTTGTGTCACACGAGATGGTCTCAGAATTTCTACGGAAACGCCTAAATTCATAGCTAAAATTGTTTGAATCAACAACACTGCACAAGAAAAAACTCGGATTACGTTTTGGAAAAATTTAGGGTATAACACGTATCTTGTACTTTTTTGATGATTTATTACAAATCAAACGAGTACTAAGTATAGTTCCGGGTTCGGCTCTTGCTTTGTAAAATTCATAATAAGGGGATAAATAAAAGGAGCTAACTGGCTAAAACTAATCCACTTCTTTATTTGAGTAACGGAGCGCTAACCTATACTATTTAGAAGCACAACTTTGGCAGGTTGTCTAGGGTGTCTCCTTCTTTTGAGTCAAGAACATGACTTACAAGCTAAGTATAAAATAGCATTCCTTCTTTGTCTTAAGGATTGGATCTAATGCATTTTCTGGACAGAATGAAACACGGAGAATGATCTCTACTCGTTCGGAGCAGGCAAAATTTATAGCAACTGCTGTTCTTCTCATGAGGTTGTCATGGGTATCGCGATGTTCAGACCGTAAATCTGAACAGGAAAATTTAAAACAATTTTTCCTGGTTGACTATTCGGTACGGTTAATGGCATTCCTGTTAGCATTTATACTATAAAATGTGGTAGGTATAAGTAAAAATTTTATAAAACCTATCAGGGTTTTAATATTTCCTCCCAAAAGTTGATCTGGTTCCAAAATCTGGAACACTCAGAGTGCAACCAAGAAAACTTTTTCCCTGTCCGAGAATTGTTTTCGAACAAATAAGGCGCCCAAGAACGTTTTTTCCACCAAAAAATACGGGAATATTTCCTAAAAAATAGAGTCTTCGTCTATAAGTCACTTGCAAAGTACTAATTTACTATCCCAGTACTAATGAGACAAATTATATTGAAGAGTATTTATTCGCCCAAGGAGTTTTGTGGACTAACACTAATTTCCTCATTTTGGAATAGGGACTAATTTTGACGTTCCAACGTTCAAGAAGTCGGTTATGAGAGATCTCGTCAGAACCTTTCAGTCCGTGGCTCTCCTGTTACTTTCCGAGGAAGCATACAATAGAACAGTAATTGTTGAATGGCCGGAGCAAAACAAGACGTACACAGCAGCTGACTACAAGCAATTATTCACGTAGGTATAAAAGCTAAATCTACGCCGTAACACTGAAAAAAACTTCTCGGCGTTTTTACCAAGGTCCGTTGGTACCTTTACTATCTCACTTCTTTTACCAATTATTGGTAATTTTACTAAGACAGACTGAAAAGCTTACCTAAAAACCGGTATTCTTACTGTTTTTTCCAGGCAAAAATACCACTTTTATTGGTAATCAATTCCCGGTAACTTTGCCATTTTATCTCGGTAATTCTACCACAGTCGATAAAAAATATTGGCGTTTTTACCAAGGTCCAATAAAATTACCGAGAAAGTTCAATAATTTTACCGAGATTACTCAGTAAAATTACCAACTCCATAAATGGTAATTTTACAAAGAAAAAACTGGGATCAAATAAAACCCTAAATTCTCGGTAATTCTACCCTTTTCTTAATAAATACACCGAGATTTTTTTTTTTTTCAGTGAAAGGCTCTAAGTTATTGGAGAGACAAATATCAGTGAGCTAAACAAGAAATGATTGGTAGTAGTATGGTAGGTTTATTTTACCGGTTACCTTAATTTCCAGGGCTGTCTACACATCGAATGAGGGAATAAAAGTATGAAGAAGTGGTGAAGAATGGTAAGATATTAGGCAAAGGAGATATTAAGTAAAATGAATACCGCTGACCAATCTTCGGTCTGACAATAGGAAGAAAACATCAGAATAGCATATATATGGAATGCTCCATGGGTGTATTCAAATCAGAAGGGACTATCTCCATTACAATTTGCACCCTTAGATCCATAAAACTAAGCATGACAGGACCCATTAAACGATGAAGAAATCTGTGATGCTTTTTAAATACTGCAATATCAATATTTTAATTATAAAGATTATATAGCAAGGGACAAATGAAAGTTATATATTTTGCCTATTTTTTGGTTTTGTTTTTTTTTTATTTTTATTTATCAGTGACATCAAGTACCAGGATGGATTTCTGATGAGGGAGGACGTCCGTTCGTTGATGCCCGTCGCAGGCGATAAACTAGGGGTAGATATTGTGTGTATTTGGTCAAAATCTGTCAAAACAAAATTTAAGTAAGTACATTTCTCTATTTTTGAAAACAAAATGTACGATGAGTTAGAAAGAACTGAAGAGGATCGATTAAAAAGTCTGATATCTTCAGGTGCTCTACTTAATCATAACTCATGAAAGTTTTGATTTTCAGCGATGACACTCATAAAACGTAACGTGAAAAAATTGAAAATACGACTACTTGATTTATGTCAAAGCAGGCTCTTGAAAGTAAAATTACCGAAGATAGTGTAACATAATCAAAGCTAGAAGGATAAGCAACTACAATTCTGTAGGTTCGTGGGGATGACAACACAGCCACTAGACAAATCCAAAGTTCAACCCGATTTTTGGTATTTATCTTCGATATTTAAACAAAAAATAAATGGTAAACGTTAAAAAATGAGCAGCTGGAGCTCTAAAAATAATTTCTGGATTTGTGCGGTTCCCGCATAAATGAAAGTAGTACATAATTATGTACCGGAAACTTTACTGTATTTCGAGCTAATGGATGCGAATTTATTGATAAATCAGGATGGTCGTGAAAGGCGATATTGCTAATCCAACATCTGTCAGTTACGAGACCGTGGACGGAGATGGGACCGTGACCCTTGACAGTTTACGGTACTGCGAGACATTTCCTAACGTGACCACCCAAGAGTACACTGGTCTTGATCACCTGAAGATAGTTTACTCGAAGGACTTCATCAACTACCTCCAATCAGTCCTCGTAAACGCAAAACCCCTCTGAAATGGATCAGCGGATAGGGCTCGCTGGAAAGCCTACACTGCTTAGCGTATGCAACCAGGAAAGCAATCAAACACGAATAGTTGTATCTAGGGGTTATTGTTGTCTTTCCGTCCTCTATCTAGTTTCCCTGGTGAAATGTCCCGGGTTTTCAGCGTTTTCTAACTTGCCTGGACTTGTTGTCTAACTCTCTAACTTTGATTTAAATTATGAGATAGCTTCATCGATAGAAAAGGAAAGTATAAAGTCACACACTTTAATTTTAAAATAATATTTTAACACTCTCCGAAAATTTGAGCTCTTATCATCGAAAGAGGAAAGAAAACCGAGCGAAACAATCAGCTGCTCTTGTACGAGATTTATAGAATGATTGAACAAATAAAATAGCAAAATTATGAACACACAATTGTGAAGATGCATATATTGAATTTAAAGGTAACAAATAAAAGAAATTATGAACTTCAAAGATTCTATTAACCGTTACAGAAGAATGAATCCTTTTAAAAATCGGACGACTATGATACCTAAGAATATACAAAATGCAGTGTTTATATTTATTTCTCTCTTTATTTGTGTCCTCACTCTTATAACCTCTAAAAAGTTCACAAGAATGTGTGAGGTGAAAAAGAAAAAAAAAACCAGATAGTAAAACTTGCCATCGACACGAAAGTATCGGTTGAAAAGGGGATTGTGGTGGAAGTAATTCAAAATTCATAGATTTGCACCACTCTCTTAGAAGACAGGTTTACAAACAAATGGGCACAAAAGAATAACGCACCCAGACATATTATTATCTGTGAGCTTTTAGCGATCTAAACTTATCCTTGAGAAAGAGCTAATTGGAGTCTTCACCCCCTTTAGTCGAGGCTCGGTGGTTGAAGCGCTGAGATCATAATGGGACCTTACGAGTTTTATCGACATGAAAATAAATTAAATATCATGAAACGTTGGAATAGTATTGGTACGTTGGGACACCCCACGTTAAACCATGAAATTTAGATTTTTTATCCGACTTCTCACACAGTGCCACAAGGAGAAATTTGCCTCCCTACAATTCTTATTGCCACGGCCGGTCATTTCACTCGAGCAAACATGTGATAAGGCAAAAACAAAGCGTCAGCTCTCAGTTTAAGAGAATTTTGGCCTTTAAAAACACAGCAAATGACGCCGATTCCGCTTTTCCGCGTTCGATTGGCCATTCAACCAAGTTTTGAAAAAAAAGAAAAAAAGTACATGATTTCGATGTCATATGTTGCAAGTTTTTTTTTTTTTTTTTTTTTTTTATTTTAAAAAAAATTAGTCATTACCATTGCAAGGGAGTGGGAATTCCTAGGTTTGCCTCGGGCCCCTGTATTCGACTGTATTGTACTTTCATGGACACATATTTCCAGCAGTTTTACCTGTTGGGGTAAAATTTTTGAAAGGGGTTGGGGTATAAGTGCTTGACCCGAGCGTCCGGAGGGCACCACATTTCCGCGCAGACTTGATTCGGCTCTCCTTTCGGGCTGCACGTGCATAAGTTACACTGAACGAAAACCAACTCACCAGGTGTGCATTTTCCTGAAAAACATCGAAAAATAACGTTGGTTTGTAAGAAACAAACGTTGGAGGACGCACATAAGATAGCGGCATTATGAATATTGTTAAATAAAAAAAATTTCTCGCCAAAATATGGTTTTAAATTTATCTGATTAAAGGAACGCCTTCATTGTCAAAAGATACATCCTAGCGTTGCCGCGGACGCCGAATAGTAGCATCATTTAAAAGCAAAGTCAACGAAGAAGCAGCGTCAATTAGCGAGTGATGCGATCGCTTGAAAAAATCATCTGATGAAGCGTGCCAACGCGTAAGAAACGCCTTCACTGTACAGGGTGATCCAAAAGTCCCTTCCACCCCCTCTAACTTTTTACCTAATTGAGGTAAAGATTTGAAACTTGGGGGATATTCCTAGGTCAAAGGGAGCTACTTTTTGGCCCCCCTAAAATTTTCAGGGGGGCCCCCCTTGGGGGGGCAACGGCCCCCAACTTTTAATTTTCAAATGGGAAGACCCCCTTTGTGATAGCTCGTTCGAAAGAGCATAAAAAAAGAAAACTTTTCGCGCAAACCCGAAGTCAATATCTCAAACCGTTTCAAAATGGCGGCCGGTTAAAGTTCAAAATGGCCGAAAATTCACACCGGTTATTTGTCGATGGATTTGCGCGAAAATCGGTATGTAGAGGTATTTTGACACGAGAAAAACGAATTTGACGTTAGATTTTCAAAAAAACCGAAATTTCCAAAATGGCCGCCGGTTAAAGTTTAAAATGGCCGAAAATTGTCACCTCGGTTTTTTGCTGATGGATTTGCCTAAAACTTGGAATTTGAGAGTATTTTGGCATAAGATAAACAAATTTGAACTTAGATTTCTAAAAAAATCAATTTTTTGTCATTTTGAACTGTAACCGGCGGCCATTTTGGAAATTTCGGTTTTTTTGAAAATCTAACGTCAAATTCGTTTTTCTCGTGTCAAAATACCCCTACATACCGATTTTCGCGCAAATCCATCGACAAATAACCGGTGTGAATTTTCGGCCATTTTGAACTTTAACCGGCCGCCATTTTGAAACGGTTTGAGATATTGACTTCGGGTTTGCGCGAAAAGTTTTCTTTTTTTATGCTCTTTCGAACGAGCTATCACAAAGGGGGTCTTCCCATTTGAAAATTAAAAGTTGGGGGCCGTTGCCCCCCAAGGGGGGCCCCCCTGAAAATTTTAGGGGGGCCAAAAAGTAGCTCCCTTTGACCTAGGAATATCCCCCAAGTTTCAAATCTTTGCCTCAATTAGGTAAAAAGTTAGAGGGGGTGGAAGGGACTTTTGGATCACCCTGTATAAAGATACTTCCTAGCGTGCCCTCAGAGGCCGAATAGTTGTATCATTTAAAACCCCTATCAATCGCATAGCAGCAACAGTGTGAACTAATAAGTAAAAGCGATTGATATAGACGATGAATGAAAACGCATATGCATAAGATGACATAAACATTTACTCTTAACAAGCTTTTTTTAGTATTTAAAATAGGGCACATAAAATTGTGGGAGTGTATTTAAATCATCAGTGCGGTTTGAAAGTTATTTTTTGCGCAGAAGAGGCCAAATTTGAATGATGATTACTAATAACCGTCGAGATCCAATCCGTTTGCGAACAAGACGTTGTCTTACAACCTTTTTTGCATGCTTGACCAGAAACATTGCATTGATTTTAAAAGATTGCCTTATAGTTAGCATCATACCTGCCTCCCAAAGCTTAATATTTCGGCCCATTATACTGTTTTGTGTTCTGTGCTCCTTACAAATTACTCAAATATGTGCAGTACTCAATGACATTATTGAATGATGCGCGAAATGGCCGTCCGATCTAATCTGATGGATCAAAATACATCCTGTGTTCTATGCGTATCGCGTGCGAGGCCCTTAAGCGGCCATAAAAGCATGTGTTTGATATAGCGTCTGTGGCCTGATTTTATTAATTATAGATAAAGACAGTGCATTATTTTACCTTCATAAAGCCAAGAGAAAGATAATATAAATATACAAACCTCTCACTGCGATAGTTGGTAAGGAGTGCACCATATGAATAAAAATCAGCAAAGAGTAAATAATTGACATTATTTTAGCCAACATTATGTTAACATTCGATACTGATGAATAATTAAAGAATTGTCCTGGGTATCTGTGACCTGGAAGAAAACAGAGAAAGACATGAATTTTTCATGGGAAATCTAAGCGGCTGTGAAAAAACAATCCTCTACTTACAAATGGGATGCAATGCACCCGGAAAGATTTTTATAATATTTGATTTGCGTCTCATAGCTGGCAGTTTAACTTAAGCAAGTAATTTTTGATTCACAAAAAGTGGTAAAAATCCTACTGCAGGCTACCAAAAATGTTAATGAATATATAAATGACTGCAGTATTTGTTTTAGTCTTTACAGTAAAAACACGCCTTTCAATAGTCTTTCATACTTGAGATTGAGTCTCCATTTTTTGAGTAGTTGGTTAAAGTATCCAAGTTTTCTATTGTGTTCTATCTGAATTTAAAAATGAAAAAAAATGTCTCACGATACTTGAACTTACCGACTTCATCAGTAATTAAGAGCACCACTCACAATTCATTATTGAAGTATCGTGTGAAAATGTCCCTTAGCAACTAAGGTAATGTTTGTGCGCTGGAAATTGAATGTTGTAAGCAATTAAAAACAAAGGTAAGTTCTAATACGTTCGTATTAGAGAAGCACGCATTTTTAAATTATCCCAAGAGGATGAGCATCGTTGAGGTGAAAGAGCTCACAAAAACTGCAATCATCCATTTTGAGAAAACTATACACTACTTTTAAAAGTACTGAAAGTGACCTTACCTAAGAAAATTGAATGAATCTCCGTAAATGAATAAACCAACTTTGTAGCCAACGGTCAACGAGTAAACTTAGTTGTAGCATCTGGACAGCGAACCTAGCTACGACTGATCTTGCCCGTGATCAGAGATCATTTAATTCCGCGATACCCCCTCCCCCTCCTAAACAGCCTCCAATCTTGCTTGCGGCTAACTGACAATGAGAGTGGCGCGTCGTACAAACATGCCGAGTACGTAGATTTGGAATAAAATGGGAGAGCGGTTGTCACTTCTTGATCGACGAACGCTGGGACCTCTGTGCGCAGGCTGTCACGGCACCGCTTTCGAAACATGTTCGATCAGTCAAGATGAAAACGAACTGCTCCATCGTATAGGTACAATCGAAAATACTCGAATTTATATTAAAATCGATACCCGACATTAAACTCAGACACGATTTGTTTCAGAGACTTTGCACTAAAAATCTAAGTAATTTCATCGGTTTAGGTTAAATTCAAGTTCGGAGGTCAACGTTTCTTCTTACCTTTAGTGATGATTGATGAGAAACCTGTGGGGCAGAACGTTTTCCATGATGTGCAACTCATAAGTGTCGCGTGCAAAAAGGAGAGTTACTTCTAATGGCAAGCGGTTCACAAATCATGATTATGTACATCGAGGAAGTCTAAAATTCACCCCCAACCTCACATTCACAATCTACGATTTTTTGCGCATTGAAAGTCTACATTTCACAAAATCCATCATGATTCCGGGGGTATCTAGGGGGTCCAGATCCCCTAGACCCCCCCTCCCCGCCGCCCCGCCCTTGTCTACGCCACTAATTTTGGTGAAATAAATGTGGCTTGGAAGCTAATGCTGAAAAATCCGCATTATTCACCAAAAATGGCCCTCGTATGACCTTTGTTCAGGCCGGTATTAGACCCAAAAATAAAACAAAAATGACCAAATCATGATGCATTCCTTTAAATATGGACCCTCAATCAGCAAAACATCGTAATAGAGTTGAGAAAATTTTGGGTGGGCCCAAAATCGGCCCCTGTCGAGTCTTTCCTGGTGTGCTCATCGTAATATTGAAACCACGCTCTATGAGAAACAATTCTTCGTTTTGCTCAATGTTCGAAACTCACAGGCGCCAACGCGCCAAGTGCGCCTAAGAAATCGGCCATGGCGCCTAAAAAATGAAGGCTCTGCGCCAACGTGGCCCCGAAAAATTGCCCCCTAAAAATCTGGATTTTCACAGGAAGTCACACGATGAAAGAAAAACAAATCTATTTGAATCGAAAAAACTCAGAATTTTCAGCACTACAAGTGAAAGCTTGCTTTTTCTATTCTTCACGATTTCGTTCTCAGTGCTTTTGTCTTACCCAAGTTACAGCTATACTTACTAGTTCTGTTACGAAAACATCTTGCGTCTAACTTTTCACTAAATGCGCCGTAATATACAGACAAAAAGTCAATTTGGCCCCTAAAAAATCTTCAATGGCGCCTAAAAATCGGACTTGATGCGCCACATGGCTCCTAAAACTCAAAGATGAGTTTCGAACACTGGTTTTGCTCCATAAAAAGTTCGCTAGAGACCCATAGTTGGCGGCAAGGCGCGGATGGCGCCTTTTAAAGTACTCGTCCCACGCTTTTCGTTAGTCGTTCAATTGGCAGCACTCGTAACCGTCGTCACCTCGTAGTCTTGCCGAGAAAAGCTCGCGACACAACTCGGAGTGGCCCTGTCCGCCGTCTAATTCAACGTTCTCCGCGGCTCAAGTGATATTTGCGATGAGTCCTTTCGTCGACAGAGCCGCGACTTGTCACTAATTATCTTGCCTCAAAACCAGTGTCGACGAGCTCCTCTTCTTACATCGCATCCAGTGGCGCGGCGCACAGCGGATCGAGTCAATTAGAGAGGTCGGACATGGAATCTGTGACTAAAACTGCAAATTTTGATGTTTATTTCGTCACATTTTAAATTTTAATGGGTGCTCCTGAAAGTAAATTTTACGAGGAAATCAATGCAACCACTTTTTGAATCTCAAAGTTTTATATAAACAGATTTACGAATGTTCAAAGTTTCCAAATTTTGTCCGACCTTTCCTGTTGCCTCGATCTACTGTGCGGTGTGGCGTGCTTAGCGATATATCGATTGCTCTGCCATTTAAACCTATGGAAACGGATCGATAAACAGGTTGTTCCTTAATAATCGATCATTTACCATGGTTTCAAATTGGGAAATATCGATTATTCACGCCTAGCCACTGATCTCATCGCCCCACTCGTCCTCATCCGCGCTTATACGAACACCTTTTTAGAGTCCCTTCATACCGGGGAGTTAAGACATCAGTGGTCAAAGTGCGAAACCACGCATTTCCATGACAGGGTTTCAATTTTTCCGCTTATTTTATTTTTCCAGTGATAGCCAAAAGCCAAGTTAATGGTTTGAAATTAATACAGAACATACCGTCAACAGAGAGGAAGAATCAAGGAATTACGCTCATAAGGTTTTAAATGACAGAAAGTCTGCAACGTTGCAGACGGAGATGCGTGGTGTTGCACTTCGGTCATGGGCATAAGAAATCCATCTCTGATTACTTTCCGTATTTTAGGCCTTAAAAATGTCTCAAATGCCGGAATCACACGCTGAATTTGGTAGCTGAATGAGGGAGCTGATCCCTGGTAAAAATTGGCAGTAGAATTTGTGTTCCAAAATATAGACCTAAAGCCGGCTGTAAGATTTCCAATAGCTTCTGTTGCCGGCTGTACAATTTGTTATAGCCTTATATAGCCGATGGCGATTAAGCAACAGCCAAACGATAAAGTTTATGCTAAACGTTACTAAATACGGATACTAGGACTTAGTTAGTTTTCGGACTACCGCTATCTTTTTGTGCCGTAGTTTCTTGATTTATTTTTCGAGGAAAGCTCCGCACTTTTGAAGGATGCCTATCATTCTTAATATGTTAGAGCGCCTTCAATTTCTTATGATACTGTGCAATACATCTGGTGTGAAATAGTTGTTTCAGACGCCGTGGCACGCTGCGGCGCGGCGGGCGGGCAGAGAGCGCGAAACGCGCATCGGCGCCTACAAACCTAACAGGGATACTTCACGCATTGCGCAATGCGTGAAGTATCCCTGTTAGGTTTGTAGGCGCCAGTGCGTCGCCGCTCCGCTTTGTGTTAGGCTCTAATATTTGATCTCGCGGAGTCAGCGTTTTCCAACTCATGATTTTGAAATATTTGCAAACTCTGTATGGATTATTCTCATTTTAATTGATGAAAAAAAAATATGTTTTAAAGGAAAATATAATGTGTGTTTTGTAAATATTAAGGTAGTTCCGTATCAAACTTAATGATTTCCAAAGCACACAAATTTCTACACAATTTCTTATAGCCTTTCATAGCCAATGGCGATAAAGTGTAGAGCCCGGCGATAGGAACTATAGCCCGACTATACCTTTTTTATAGCTTCGTATAGCCCGGCTATATGATTTGCTCCGCGTTCTACAGCCAGCTATATGATATTCAATAGCCTTCTTTAGTCGGCTTTAAGAACTCCTATGGTATTTTGAAACGCAGCTCCTATCGTCAATTTTTACCAGGGATGCGGTTGCTCAACAGATGAACCTTCGTAATTTTAGGTGATTTTCATCCAAATATGTATTAAATTTATTCGAATAGTTAGGACAAACTGCTTATTCTCGATCCTCATCGGTACCCTGAATTTTGCGGACCGATGACTCCCACATTCAGCTACCTATATTCGGCGTATGCTTTTTACCAGACCGGCGTAAATATTACATTCTCACGGTTTGTAAATATATGTGACTAGAATGGTCCGAGAAATTAGGGAAAGAAAGGGAACAAATGGCATGGGAGAAGGAATAGAAGTCAGATATTTTATCAGTGTGCCACTTAAATCAACACCGAAGTACAATTGGACGCATTTATGCTAAAAGGAACTATGCTACACGCAAATCCTATGCACTTAGTTCCTTTTGGCATAAATATTCCCAATTTCGGGAGTCAAACTGTGGACTGAATGAAAAGAAGAGGAAGTCAGTGATATTTTTTTTTATTTTCAAACAAAATTTAAATTTTCTAGTGAACAAATATCAACTCCATGATAATTTTGTTGGTCAGCACAATAAAATGGACCTAAGATTGAGGAGACGGTTGTTAAATTGGCGAGCCTGTCAACAAAACTAAAGAGGCATAGAGTGAAGAAATTAGATAGAGGGTGGAGGAGTTAGCTTGTGACGCTTGTTCGCGTATCTAGATACTAATGACAAACATTGAACTGTCTGAAACGATAGTCTATGACATAAAATTAAAATATACCGAAAAAATTGTGAACGCATTATTCTGGTATATATTAATTTGATCCAGATGGATTTACGGTTTTAATCCTCATCTTCTAAATCTTTCAGATCATACTCGTATACTTTACCGAAGACTAAAACATGGTAGCATTACGAAGGATCTAAAAATTGTCATGTTTTCCCATGCCGGCAAGTTCCTTTCCTCGGCAACCCCGGCAGTTAACCCGGTAGACAATTTAGGTCTCTACAGGGTGTATTAGATTGAATCAAAATTAAAACCAGGCCTGTAAAACTTTCCGGATCTTTGCCAGAGCTTTTAAAAGTTTACCGGCACAATGTGCCGTTTGAACACTCTTTAACAAACCTGGTTTGCTTTGATCTTGTGCCCTTTCATTCGTACACTCCTCTCGTTATTGCAGTCCTTTACCTTCTTCATTTTTCTCCACCTTGTATTCCTTCCTCTCTTACCCTCTCTCATTATAATATTCCCTCTTTCGTGTGACACATAAGCGGTGTAAAAATAAGCTTAATTGAGGGCTCGGCAGGCAAACATTATGTTCTCGGAGACTCGTGGTTAATATGAAAAGTGGAACACAAAATTACCAAAACTTTCAGTTTCCCCGTTTTTCATTGTTTTCTACCAAAAATAAAACGCAAACTGTGCCAGAGTCAACACAAAAGTTCGGTTGGTTTGTGTTCAACTTCTTATGCCAACCGTTTACACAAGAACAATAACACAATTTTTCTCCGGGTAGCACAATATTTTCTTAAGGGTTTATTACTTGCATGTTCTTCATTATCTCTCCTCAATAGTGAAACGTAGCTAATGGTAGCAGCCCATTTTAAGAATCATCGATTCAGTTCTTTAACTTTCGATTTTTTATAGATTCACTTCGTCAATGGATATCTTTAATTCATTCCGCGCGCCACTAATTCAATATTGATGGAAAGATTCTAAGCATATTGGTACCTAAGAGTACTACTAAACAATAAAACTATTTTTTCTGATGCCGGAGTAAATTCTAAACCATTTTCTCTTACGTGTTGAAGAAGAATCCGTCACTAAAAATATATCTTAATATTTATTTACATGCCACTTAGCGTATCTATTTACAACCAACACATTTGTTCCACACTTTCAGAGGAAATTCAGTCGAGAAACAGTAGATCAAATCCTCAAGAGAGGTATAAAATATATGTAGTGCATTAATTTGAACAGAGATCAATTTACTGGATAGGTCTGCTAGACTTGTAGACTGGTGTCTTATATAAATACTAGAGTGAATGTGACGGACTTCTGCGCACCTATACACAGCGGTACCCTCTTTAGTACTAATACATTTTTATGAGGCTAGACTGTCACAATTAGTTCAATCTGAAGTCAGATTTCTGCGTTATAGAGTATTGGGAGACCCACAGAAGCTGATTTCTTCACTTAGACAGTCAAAGCAGGAACTTAACCGTGGAAAGAAGAATACGTTTTTTCAACGAGCGTCCTGCTCGGAAAATTTCACAATTTTAATCCATTAGAGAAATACAATTTTTCGATTTAGTTTTTAAGCTTTTCATCCATTCATTTACTTTTCATTTTATTTCGACAATTTTTTTTGACTATGTTACAGTCACATTGACAAATCCTCTCCTTTAAAAAATGTTTCACTTCTAAAGTTTTAAACTTTTCATATTCTCGAGAGGAAAAAAAAACCAGAATATACCATTACTAGTTTTGTTGTCGTTCACTCCCAATCTGTGATAGGTTATGAAGTAACAAACAACAAAAGAAAGTTCAAATTATTGAAGAGCCTCGAGTCTAATTTTTTTGAGCACTTCTTTCGACAGTTGCACATTTTTCAAAAAAAGACACTCTGTATTCAGTGTCTCTCTCGTCTACCGTAGAGAGTAAGTTCAGTTTAGCCACGACTAGATCGTAGTGCTTGTAGTAGTCGCCCTCCCTTTAAAAGCGCGGAACAGAATAATTAAAAGGAGAATAAAAGAATAAAATCGAGAATGTAGATAATTTATCAGCTCATTTTTCAGCTTCATTCTCTCTACAGAGGTAGCCCGTGAAACTCTGTTTAATTTAAGGCACCCAATCAAAATCAAATGGCTCATGGACACTAAAAAGAAAAGAAAAATATTGATTATAGTTATTACAGCCTGTTAACCCTTTTTGGGACTTACGATTAATTGTTTAAGGGAGTTGATGCCCATTAAGGAATCATTGCAAACAAAAATATCAAGTAAGCACTGGAAGTTCCAGTTTCTGGCAGGCTAAATCTTCTTAATTTGCCACTCATGATTTCAGTCTAATTTAAGAGGAAATTATAGTTATATTAGATATTACTGAGCAAGAAAGGGTCCATCGGTCAAATAGACGCTATTAGTGCCGTCATCACAAGGATTACCTGTTACATCAAATTGGATAAAAAAAAAAATAACAATGACATCGCCTCTTTCAAAGCTACCAATGAGATCAAATCAAAGTCCATCGTTTTACTATGACTTAACATTAATGGCGTATACAGACAAGTAACAATAAAAGTGTCAAAGGCAGCTTCACAGGTGTCACAAGAGGAAACAAGAGGAGAGAGCAAAGTATCTCGAAAATGTATAATGCTTTCGCAACCATACCTTCTTTCAAAAATTTCAAAGCCGACAATGATAGATAAAACATAATGATATAAATTTTATCTCTGAGGCTTTTGCCATCCATTTGTCTCCCTTTCAATTTACAGCTGTGTGTTAATCAAAGGGTGATGTTGTAAATTTGAAACGAAATGTACGGAGCTCTTTTTCTCTCTTTAATTAAAGTTGTTAGGATTGTTACAAAAATTAACAAAACAGAAAATAGCGGACCTAAGAAATATACACGAATTTTCAATCACCTTAGAACGTCTTAACTTTAAAAATCAGTCTATTCCTATATTTACATCACCTGGCAGTTCTCATTTTTCATCTTCATTGCAAAGGAAAAATGAATAAATATACAAAAACGGAACATTTGCTCATCACATTCTCTCTTCACTCATTAAATAATGTAATGATAAATGCACCCATACAATCAAGTTGAATCGTGATTAGCATACTACTGCAGTACGCAAAGGTCCTTGCAGGGGAAATATGACATTTTATTTTTCTTTGATTTTCAATAGGCTGTCAAAACTCATTTGTAGAGCTTTCATTTCATTCCAATAAATTTGTAACTCCCCGAGAAATATTTATGATGACGTTTAACGCTGCGAATATTTTTACTGTTGCGAAATGTGCGAATAATTTGTGCGTGAAATGGAGACATCATCGATAAAATTGGACACATGTCAGATAGTGTGAAACATTTTACATATACATTACATATTCCATTGAATTACATGCGGAGAGGTGCTGATTTTCATTGCAACGCGGCAATCGCGACTTGGACTGAGAGGCACCAAGTTTTAAAAGAGCGCTCGCAAAAATATGTTATTTGGTGGCAGTAAAAATCTCAATCGGACATAAAAAAAAACTTTACACACAGAGGCATATGTCTCACAGGTTTTTATAGACGGGAAAAGTACATGATGAGGAAATCATTTCTTTTTATTTTATGGAGACAAATGACTTCTAGAATCGATGATAAATTCATTAGGTTAAAATAATTACATGAGATGTCGTAGACATCTTCAGCAATTGACGTAAGTTAGCCATTCTTTTCTGCGCTTTGTCAGGTACCAAAACATATTGATAAAAGTGTCGCTATGCGGCCGGCAATCGTTTTAAAATTCGGGAACAGGGAAAAGAAGAAATAAATAGAAAACCTCACAGACTTCCCTTAATACTTAACAAGTGTAAACAGCTAAGGAGATGTATTGGACGTGGAGTACCCTTGGGCCGTATTCATTGTCGATCCTCAGAATTAAGTCCATTCCCCATTCAAGGGAGGTTCAAGAAAATCCTTAACAAAGCAACATAAATAAAGAAAAGTTAAACGAATCTTGAGTAAAATTTGCCGGTATAACTTTGAAAATAGACCTTTGTCAGGGATTTAAATGCTTTGCTTTGACAAAAATTACAAATGCAAAAGAACAAAATTTGCAAGTTTTGAAAATTCTATGACAAGTTATTTGCCATTTATTTTTGTAACATATTGGTAGGAGCGCTCAATTAATTTGACAGGGAGGCATGTATCCGAAGTGGTTACAAATGTGCAAGAATTAACTTACATAAGACCTGCTTTATTCATTGATGTTTTGCAGTTTTTACGTAAGTTAATTCTTGCACATTTTTAGCACTTTGGCTACATGTCCACCACTCCACCTATCAAATCATAGGTCCTTAGGTCCAAATTATAAAAGATTGACATGAATGCTAAATATATTTAAGGTGCGGCAACTCATTATAATCCCCAGTAAGGATCTATTGCCTATGTTTGACTGCTAAATGTTACTCAAGTTTCATATTAACTATCCTTTATACGATTGTTTTTCAAAGGAGTCCTTTTTCCCTCATTATTCCGTCGATTCACAAATGAAAGAACGGAACTGTATTCAAAAATTACAAGATAGACTTAAATAGTTCAAAATGATGACCATTCAATGTACAATCCAACTTATACTGATTTTAGCCTGCAATCAGAACAAAAATCGGTAAAATTCAATTCAACAGCATTTTGCAAGAACGAACTATACGATTTCTAGTTCACCCATAAAAGCACCTATCTGCCTAAGGAAAACTAATGGCCCACCGGCTGTTTCTAAAATGAGCCGAATAAAATAGTTACTAATTGCAAAATGCAGCTCAGTTAGTGGTGCATGCCCAACAGTCTCCCAGTAAACATACTAACTGCGAATGGAGATTTGGACCGCGTTAAACAGAGAGGAACCAAGCCACATCAGCTATAGCCAAATTTAATCGGGCAATTTAATTTTATAGCATGAAAATGGTTGTGCGAATTGTTATGCAAATTTCAGTGAATTTTCTCCATAATACAAAAGCGATTTCATTAAAATTTTCAAAGGAATCTTCACAAACGTTCTCTCGTTAAAAATAAAATCTCCCTGTTAAATGACAATAGCTGATGTGGCTTGGTTCCTTTCTGTTTAACGCAGTCCATTCAGCAACAATGAAACGCAGTTCGTCTGGGGAACGACGAATCATATCACGAGGCACAACCATGAATACGACCTTACGGCTGCATTATTTCTAAATAGGTATCCAAATCGGACGAACGGAAAATTCGAGGGGTTTGAGCGGCTAAACGGTGGTTTCCCTATCAATGCGGATGAACTCCACCGAGTTGGCGTGCTGTCAGGACGAGGCGAGCGATCCCTGGGAATTGACTAGGAACTCCTCGGTGGGCGCCCTCTGGGAGGCGCCCATCTTGTCGGCGCCGAGGAGGCGCCTCTTCCGCTGGTGACTCCTGTGCAGGGCCAAGAAGCAGAGGACGACGAAGCAGGCGGCCGAGCTGGCGACGCCCCCGCCGAGGATGGCGTAGGTGGGCAGGAGGGTGAAGATGAGCCGGGAGACCCCGCAGACGGCCGGGTTCTCGTCGGAGCCGTCCGGGCAGTTGCGGACGCCGTCGCACCAGAGCACGGCGCTGATGCAGGCGTTCAAGTCGTGGCACTTGTGCGGGCACCCCGGATCCGTCGTGTTCCCACCCACCACCGGGCCGACCACCCCGATCGTCTGCTCCTCGATGAGTTCCGACGACGGGTGGAGCTGCTTCAGGAAGGACGATTTGGGCCTGGAGACCTCGAGCCAGTTCACCGTGGCGCCCCCTGGCTCCCGAGCCACGAACTCCAGTAGGAAGTTGGGCGTCCGCGGGTTCTGCAAAGGGCCCCCGCCGTGGGTCTCGTCCTCCTCCTGGTAGCCGAACCACTCCTCCGAGAAGATGTGAAGCTCTGACTGGCGGGAGCTATGCAGCGCCGGACAGATCACGTGGGAAAGCCTGCAAACACCCAAAAACTTTGGCTTACATTTCGCAGGCACTTACATAAAATTTCAAGGAGTTAGGATGTAAGACGGTAAATACTTAACAGTTCCTTCATTTGCTCAAAACATTCGGAAATTTTCTTTTAAAATTCTTTAGGATTTTTTTTTCTTTTTCTTTTGTTTGTGATTTAACGATATGTATGTATAAGTCGCTTTTACGGCGCGCTAGGGCACCCTGCGACGCCTACCCGCCACAAGAATCTGTCAGGGCAGAGATCCATTGGATCCGGTGAATTTAACGATCATTGTGAAATTTCATTTATAATTATATTTATATTCAGAATATTTAGCCAACAGAGAGGAAAATTCAGAGAGGTTTTTAAGAAATTATGTGGACTAATTTTCCAAAGAAGGAATGAAGTATGACAGGAAGTCTGCGACCTGGCAAACCGAAATTTAACTTCCCTGTAAGAGTGGCTTTTCTGAAATATGGGATTCAACTGGCTCATTGCTCAAATGGACGTATTTCTATCAAACGGACCTGGAAGGTAGAGGGGGGCTTGGATTGGCGGCGGAATCGGGCGTCCGGCTTATTCCGTCCTATGCTCGCAATGCTTTTCCATGGCGCTTAGGTCCGTTTGATAGAACGCGCTATCCGGGATTCTAAATTCCTCAAAAGGAACTCAAATTGGCGCTTAGTTCCGTTTGATAGAAATACGTCTAAATAGAAATGCCAAGTCCTCGAGAGTGGGTCAGGGGTTAATGGAGGATCTTCTCGTCTCTGTCTCTCGCCGTCCAACTTACCGTTTGGTGGTTCCGTAGTAGAGGAGGATCCTGTTCCTGGTGTGGCACTTGACGGGCTCATCGGGGGCGGGGTGGAGGGGGAGGAGATGCCCCCAGGTCATGAGGAAGAGGCTCTTGTTCTCGTTGGCCTCGATGAACCACGGCGCGCCGAAGCACTGCTTGTCGGCCCGACTCTGCGGGGGGTTCGCGAACTCGATCTCGCCCCCGGAGCCGCGGAGCCGCTGCTTCCGCGCGCAGTCCGCCGCCCGCACCATCTCGAACTCCGCGTAGAAGTACACGTCCTTGTAGTCCTCCGTCATGTTCATGTTGAAGATCTTGAATGTTAACTCCAGCACCTGAAACACATTCCACACAGATAGAGATATACCACAGCATACAGCCAGGGCAGTGTAAAAAATTCAGCAATACGGCACATCCTCACCTTCGGGCCCATAAGGACAGGCCCGCCACAAGGGGGGGGGGATACTGGGTCCCTGGTACCGGGGCCCGGGCCCTGGAGGGGCCCGTGACGCAGGTGACAAACCACTACGAATTCATGTGTAACCCTTGTCTCGTAGGGAAAAGTGAAAAAATTACCCTAAAAATTCCGCTAAAAAGGTGAATGAAGTTTCAAAAACACGCTAGGGCACTTTAAAATTTTTCTTACTTTTTTAGAGATTTTCAAGATTTTGAGTATATCTAGAATGATATTTTTAGTAACTGTGTTTCATTTTCTTCCGTTGTCGGATGCTAAGAGGCTCCTTTCTGGGCATCCTCGACTTCAATGGATTAACTCCCTTGCCATAGACGTACGAAAGGGGAGTCCAGGGGGGCCCGGCTCCCCATAGAATTGAAAATTATCACCTGCCCCCTCAAAAAAAAATTTATAGATGTTTGGAATGCAACAATTCGAAAGTTTTTGGTGCTAAAAGTAAACAAAAAGGCGTAATTATTCTGCAGAAATTGATGGAAAATCTCCATCATAAGAGCTTCATAATGCGTCCAAATAGATTTAAAATTTCAAAAATTTCCCGAGAGAAGCCCCCCGGACCCCCCCCCCCCTGTGCTAGGGGCCCGGGCCAGAAAATTGGTACCAGGGCCCGAGATGGGATGTGGCGGGCCTGCATAAGGATAAGGATCACATGCGGCCTTTCAAAATTTCCTGTGCCATTTTATTTTTTACAGAGAAATTATTATTGGTTGAATCTGTTGGAAAATGTCACTGAATTTCATCGGCAGCACAAAGAAAATTCGGTGACAATTTTGAACAGCTTCGTTGAAAAATTTCTCTGTAAAAAAAAATAAAATAGCAGCGGAAATTTTGAAACCTCGCATGGCGCTTGTGATACTATGACCGAAAGTTGACGACGTGCTTTTTATCAAAATTTTGCATAGGATACGCGCTTAAAGTCAGCAATAGCTCTTAGCTGTATATGAACCAGTTTTCATCGGATTTTAGGACATACATATCTAAAACTTTTGAATGCCTTCCATTTAATCTCCAAATAATATCTCGTCATCTACCGGGCAGAAAATCACGAGCTTTGCAACGTGACGCTTCTTACATTCAGACCCTATATTGCTGAACATCTCGATATTGTTCTAATTTTTCGTTAAAACTTTTGCACATATTAGCATACAAATTTTAAGGGTTATACTGGGGATTAATCTTGATGACAAAAGTAATATTCGGTAAAATTGTCAAGCTAGTCTGTTCTAAAGGTTTTCTGTTGAAAATTGGACGAGTTTGAGAAGATTGTAACTGAGCATACGATGGTGAGTGTAATTATCTTCCGGGAAGGTAACGATCTACTCAAGCCTACCATTACTATTCGAATACATTCAAGAACAGATGAGCTCATGAATAACTCAATTTATCATGCGCCTTGTTCTTCAAACCCCTCGATTATGAGAAATGTAGTCTACGAAGTCTGTTAGAGTAGAAACCGGATTTTGGTCATAACTAGCCCACAATGCGTCCAAATTACGTCTTCTTGAGCTTTTCTGATAGCTGAAAATATATTTTAAGAATGCTACGTTCACAAATTTGAAAAATCATAATTAGCTTTGTTGGTATGTGGCTTGAAGTAAGGCAACCTCAAGGGTGTTTTGCTATTTTTATGTTTGACCGAACTTGTCTCTCTTTTTTCGGTCTTGCACTACATTTTTCAACCCACAAGGACGATTGGAGTTTCGTCTCCATATCGTAGCCGTACACTAAAGTATTGTCACAGAAAAATATCCTATCCAAAAATGTAGGATCATTGTTAGAACGTTCAAGCAGCTAAAGGGAAATTGACATTTGGTTGGATTTTCGTTCAACGGACAACAATCAAGGGGCAAGTGTACCTGAAACTCGATGCGTGTCTACATATTCTATCAAAATTGTATGCACATAGCCTTCAGAAATATTACTCTGTTCAACAAGCTCGAAACGACCATTTTCGAGCACTTTTGCCCGCACTTCTTCCACGTGACGAATGTCAGTTGCCGTTGAGGGTAGGTTCCCATACTCCTCATCTTCGACGAACCCCTGACCAGTTTTGAATCGTTTAACCCACTCAAAACAGTGGGAACATCTCATACAATGATCTTGGTAAACTTTACTTAGCATACCAAAAGTTTCGGTACAAGGTATACAGAGTTTAAAACAAAATTAAATGTTGAGTCTTTGCTCTATCAGTGATCGCATGCTGAAAATCGCAAAACGCACCTGACTTACTTGCATTCAAGATGACACAGAATAAACACTGATCAAAATAAACAAAATCTGTGAACGTAGCGTTCTTAAGTATATTTCCAGCTATCATAAAAGCTCAAGGAAACCTAATTCGGACGCATTGTGAGCTAGTTATGACCAAAATCCGGTTTCTAATCTAACAGACCTCGTATATGTGCTAGAAGCTCCTTATGCAGGTAAGTGATTTTATAATGGATGAGTCTGAAATTGTAGCTCCTAATTGTAAAATGTGGTCCATCTCATGCTGAAAAGAAAACATTGACCGAGGAGGCCGTACTCACGGGCTACATAGACATGCCATTCGTCCCGGGCTCATAGTCCGAAAGTTCCGGTTGTAGCATCCGGAGCAATCGAAGCTACTGCTCCAGCACCCGGAACTTCTGGCCTATGAGCCCAGGACGAACGGCATGTCTATATAGCCCTACCTTTTTTTTTCAGTGCATCAAGCTCATAGCTTGATAGGGTGACATACCTTGGTGGCGGAGGTGAAGGTGAGCGCCTGGAGGGTGTTGAGGGCCTGCTGCGCGGCGGCGGAGGTGGCGTTGTTGCAGATGCAGGCCTTGGCGGTGCGGACGTCCCGCCACGGGGCCTCGGTGACGAGGAGCTCGTAGTTCTTGCGGGCGGCTCGCTCGGGGCTCCGGGCGCAGACGTATCGGCCGGTGTGCGGGTCCGCCTCCGTGTAGCACTCGGCCCGCTCGCCGAAGCTCACGTTGCGGATGGTGAGCTGGACCCGCTCGCCCGGCCCGGCCTCGATCCGGTAGTAGCAGCTCAGGTTCGCCGTCCCGCCCCGACCGTACAGGAACACGTTCTTCGGCGTGTGGATCTGCCCCGATCGCATCTTCCGGAAAAGACGGCTGCAAGTCGTTGTTGGCACCTGAGGCATAAGAAAATTTTTATTCAGCCGGCTCATCATTCAAACAAAGAATTGGACGTATTTCTACCAAACAGACCTATGTGGAGGTGAGAAATATGGGGTGTGCTCGTTAGTTCTCTGGCCGTAAGAGTGAATGAGAATAATAAAGCGCCAGTGACGTCAGCGGCAATGATGGAGAGCCGCAAGACTGAGATCATCGTCGGGGCGCTTCAACTCATGAGCCCTGTCCACAACGCTCTCTTGCCATGCCCGCGGCTCATGAGTCCCGCATTCAGTTGGCATATGTAATATCCCGCTTTTCCAATGGGCCTGTTGCATGCAAGAGATACAGCCGTGCGAATAGACTTTTTAGAGGTTAAATGACATGAAAATTACGATGGTCACATTAAACAAGTCTGAAATACACTCCTTATTGCGCAATTTGTGTTGTTAGGAACGCGCTTTTTCAAATTTCCCGCGTCTGGGGGCAGTTTTCTAATGGAAACAATTAACGGCAACTCGCGGCTATTTCCGGCCAACTAAAACTGACAACATAACCTAAAAATTGGAGCTCGTGACATCGTGAAATGAAATGTAGAAGGATTGCGTTGGATATTTAAAAGTTGATCGATTTGGTTACCGCATAAAGCGTATATGGACCACTGCAGGAGATCACGTTGGGTTTGTAAACAAAGTGAAGGAATAAATAACAACAACAACAACGACGCGGCATCTTCCGGAAATCAGCGAGCCCGCCGTTTGCTCGTTTCCGGTGATTAGAAAACTGCCCCCAGGCGCGGGAATTTTGAAAAAGCGCGTTCCTAACAACACAAATTGCGCAGTAAGGAGTGTATTTCAGACTTTTTTAATGTGACCATCGTAATTTTCGTGTCATTTAACCTCTGAAAAGTCTATTCGCGCGGCTGTATCTCTTGCATGCAACAGGCCCATTCTCCAAAAGGAATGACGCCCTCTTTTACATTGTTTCTTGTGCAGCTTTCTAGAGCACACCCCATATTTCTCACCTGTACATAGTTCTGTTTGATAGAAATACGTCCAATTTGCTCCCCCCCCCAAAAAAAAAAAAAAAAAAAAAATTGCATTGCTTTATCTGAGAGCGCAACCCGCGAGAGACCTTATGGTTAGTTTAGCATTTCCCTCTTCAGCCTATGTGACCACCCGTTTCAATCGACAGAATCGCTCCATTCCCCATTTGTCTTTTCTGTATATAGCTTTGTCTATCGATTACAATGATCAACCCGCAGACCCATGTGATTTTAATATAACCACGAGCCACTAGCTGAGTGCAGCTCTACAGCGTAGCTCTTACATGCCTCGGGAGTATGCGATGCAAGTTCTTCATAACGTATGGAAGATCCTTGTGACGATTGACCAAAAGTTGTCCCCAGAATTCGGAAAAATGGATATTTTTCAAACTGTAGGTGGTCTTGGCGTCGAAGTGTTGAGCTCCAGTACTCTTGTATATTAAAAGGAAAGTATCATTTTAAGGTGAAGAATCGCCCCCTGAAATTTCACTGGTAAAAAAAACCTCTTGGTTCAAGAGTGCAGTTTCTTGTCGCCGGATTTAAGAGTCTGGACTCTTGTTTCAATGCAAAATCCGCTTGAAACAAGATTTCAAGACTCTTAAATCCGGCGACAAGAAACCGCACTCTTAAGTCAATGCACCGCGGCATTGGTCCAAGAGGTTTTTTTCACCAGCGATCATCCAGTTAAGTTTGGAACAGTCAACATAAAATCACCCAACTTACGTCATCATCCTTGCGGCCGAAGTAGGGCTCACCGCCGAGCCTCGTGTCGACGAACTCGTAGCGGAGCCGGAAGGAGGCCGGGTGGAGGGCCGTGCCGGGGGTGGACTTGTGCTGGATGACGATGCTGTTCGAGAAGGAAACGTAGCTCTCCTCGATGGAGCAGGGTCTCCCGCGGCGGGTGGCGTTGGCGAGGGTGGCGTGGTCGCAGAGCTTCGGGGCGTCGCAGTGGTCGCCGAGGACGCTCCCGCCGCCGTCCCAGATCCGCAGCCGCGTGGCGCAGCTCTCCCGCTCCGGGACGGCGACGTGGCTCGCGTTCCGCTGCCGGAGGGGGTGGTGAGCGTAGCTGACGAAGTAGAGCCAGACGAGGTCCGCCTCCGAGCCGCGGAACCGGTAGACGCAGGTCGAGTTGGCCGGCAGAGTGTGGCGCGGGCTGAGCACGAAACCCTCGCGCCCGCGAGAGCGCTGCATCGCGTCGTCGCTGTCCGGGTGGGAGGCGTTCACCAGGAACTCGCAACTAGAACAAGCAAAATCCACAGAGTCAGGCTCATTTACATTCTTGCGATATTTGACAGAGTAGAGACAAGAGACTCTCCACTGGCCTCTTGGCGACAGGAGGAAGCTGTTACTTTCGGGACTCAACAATTCCGTATGGACAATTATAAGGGAGCAACAGTCATCTATCTTATTTGGGCTGTTGACCTACCTTCATGGTGAATGATGAGCTTCGGGTGACGTCATGAGCCAAACAAGTTTCCCAAACTTCGACTTGTTTGCAGCACGAAATTGCCAACTCGTTCTTAACCATCGACCATGTAGGTAAGTCAACAATAGAAGTCCCAAAAGTAAAAGCTTCCACCATTGCCATGATACTACTGGAGGGTCTCTTTTCTCCGGACAAAGGGCGGGATTTGCCATCAAGGCGCATTATTCGCGCGCTTGATAGAGTAACTATACGAGGAGAGTACGAACACGTAGAAATTTGGAGCTCTAAAGGGCCCATATAGGCACCCGACCTTCTAACACGAAAAATGTTACTGTCACTGTTCAGATTCTAATATCAAACCAAGATGGACAGGATTGATCATAAATGAGCGTCCTACCCTAAACATTAGTGAATTTTCACAAAAACTGAGCCAAATACGAGCTTTAAAAACAACAGGTCGTGCCAATTGTAATTATGAATTTTTCTGGATAATTTGAATTCACAGACTGGCTGCTCCTTTATAGCATTTTTAATTTATTTTCAATAAGGTGGTAAAATAGTGCTGGGTCCACACTATTTTGTGAGGTAAGCTAAGTCGAAAAGTGCAATCAATTTTAAATTTGACTAAAAAATGTTAAGCTCTAATGAGTATCAGTGCGAAACTGAGGTGGAGAGTGTTCAACTCAAGTCGATGAATTGGAATCTCACGCCAGGATCACGCTGAGAGATCCAAAACCACATATTTCATCACCTCATCACATCAAGTCCGCCCCATAAATTTTAGGGTTTTTTTCCGTGTTTATTTTCAACCATAGTAGACTTTCTCATCTCTCACAGCTCTCACGTGGACTCTACACTGTATAAAGTATTAATTTTATCCCCCCTTTTTTGAAGATGAATTCATTGTTTCACAGACAAAGAGACATAAGTTCATTCTAAGGATGCAAAATCTACTGACGTAATCAACTGATTTTCACACGAAAATAACAGTGCGACTTCTGACCAAAATTTTGCAGCTATTTGACTGAGACCATGAACGAATCTGAGAATGTTTTTGAATGAATATAGACATTTTCGTTGGAAATTTTGCCACATGTAACCGCAATTACGTTATTTTGTGTCGGAAACTACGAACTAAGATTCCTTCTTCATGATGTTTTCTATAAACACTATAATTCAACTGAAATGAGTGCAGGGCTATCAATTGACTTACATACAATATTATGGTGTCATTTAAAGTCTAAGGTGAGTTGAGTACAGCATTGAAGAATTAAAAGTTACTTGGAAGTTCTAAGACCTTTATTCAACCTTTCTCCTAGTTGTTTGCTCAGAAGAAAAAAAATCGCGAGGAACTGTAAGAAGCCAGAATAAGTTATCACATACTTGTGGCCTGATATGGCTTAAATCTTGTGGGAGGATTCAGCGCTGAGCTTAACGATCCGTGGCTTTTCAAGAGGCATTGCCATTATCATCAAAATTGGTCGAACTTCCCACGAATGCCCGTTCATGTATGAAACAGACGAGCTGGCAACAGTGCTCGCGGGGCTGTTTCTTGGCAAAGGTTTTATAGCGTGTTATTGCACTGGACGATTGTAATGCGGGTAAAAAAAGACGGCAAAGAGCAAGAAAGATGACCTCGACGTAATAACCTAACTTTCTGCGTTGCCAGCAAGCCTTTATATCCTCCAATCAAAACAAATTTAGCCTTTACGTACATAAGATGTAATAAAACAAACAAATAATAAAAAACGATCGATGAGAAACCATGATAAACGAACTTTCGTGGGTGTATGCGATGACATATCCGTCAATGTCATCATTAGTATTTAATTCCTGTTTGGATATTTTCCATTGATATCCAGTAAGAGTTTATTGGATAAACAGTATAAGATCTGCTGAATTTCATTATCGTGCAGTTTGATGGTCGCAGCTACTTTTGTAATCAACGTGGGGACACGATTAAGATTGGGCGACCCGTGCTTTTTAATCTCACACTCTACAGAACGCCTTCAATTAGTCATGTATGCAACTTAGACAGCATTCAAGCAGGAATAGTCGCGTGCAGAAATCATTGTAGATTTGCGGCGCATCTTAACGCGGCCGGAGTTCGAATTGTCAATCTGATCAAAATTACGTGGTAGTCAATTATTCACTCCAGATCAGTTTATTTATTTATTTATTGACATTAAGATGAAAATTGCGAGATCAGAGGACCTCACGAAAACTTTGAGAAAAGTGAAATTATCTCTCTATTTGTCAATGAAATTTTGCAATTTTTTTTAATATTGCCTAGGTATTTGTCACCAAAAATTTATTTCCACATGTTCCGAGTGTGAAATTTCAAAGGATGGGAATGTTGAGTCTTAGAAAACAATGAAACTATGGACAAAATAATAAAAACATATCTCGGTATCTTGATATCATTATAATTCCTGGCATTCAAATTTCAGTGTAAGGAATAAATATTTTCACCAAAATTTGTGTAAAAGTAATGTAAAAAATTGAAAAATAAAATGAATGGATGTCGTAAAATGTCGTCTTGTTTATTTGTGGCGTTTGTCTATATGTTGTTAGACGGCTTCTCATCTGAATTTTTTCGTGTGGTAAAATTGTAAAAATAAGCTCTCAAAGTTATGAGACAGTCGATCAAATCTCTCGTTGGAGTTTTCACATGTATTATGATCGCGTCACTTAAAGGAAAGAGAGAAAGAAAAATGGATTGTGGCGAAAATTTATAAACACTTAGTGATCGTGACAAGATATTACAAATTGATTACATTTTGCAATAAGGAACCACTATCTCTGGCTCTTCTGTAAAAGCACCTTTCTGCATAGGGAAACTAATGGCATATATGTTGTTTCTTAAATAAGCCAGAAATAGAGGTTCCTCATTGCAAAATGCAATAAAAATGTTTTCAGAACAAAATTGATCGACGTAATTTTCCTTGACATTAAATAGAGCAATTAATGAAAACTTCAATCTGATTCACCACTATATAAGCTCTAAATCTTGATAAAAGGCGTACATTTTACAAAAACGGCAAATGAAACCAGGTAAATATTATACGTATAACATTGAATAATTCTTGAACGGGCGACGAAAGGCGCCTAAATATGAGCGTACGGGAAGTAATGAGTTCCGCTTCGAACTAAGTCAAGCCTCAATTTTCAGGATGCATGTAGAACATTAATCTTTCCTTTATAGAGGAACTCTATCACCTGGGACCTCGGGAAAGAGATGTAATGGGGACGAAATACCCCTGAGAGCCCATGATTGTGTGTATACGGGTGAGTGTGTGTGAGTGTTAGCTATGCAGTGCAAACATTGGTGGTAGTGGAGTATGCAGCCTTTTTTCTGGCAATTTGAGTCTCAACACGGAATTATTAACGATCCATTCTCACTAATACAAATCATGCAAATGGAGCATGTTGAATACATGAAAATTGTATCTCAGAAGAACAGATTGAACAACTGAACTCAGCAGAAAGGAACTGAAGCCCATTTTGGGAATAAAACGAAGTTGGAGTAGTTTTAAGTTCATAACATTGTTGCTCATTCAGATATTTAATAGTTGTTTAGCTCATCAAAAATATAAAGTCGAAAAATATAATTCTTCAATTGGAAAATGAAGATTAAAATATATTCGTTACATTCAGACTTACGAAAAAGCATGAACTTCAGCCCTTTTTTTTCTCGTGCCACCTTAAGGGGCTTCGGTGTTTTTTCACTGAATCATGTATATTTTACAAATTTGAGAGTTAAGAATAAGTTTTTTCTGGTGTACAGTTGGTGTTATCGTATTTTTTTTCGGTGTATGCGGCCACAATTTTTAATTAAATCTTGAATTCTTTCAGTGATCAAACACGGAGATATTGTGGACATACACTGGAAAATAATTCCTTTCCATACTGCCTTGCTAAGGAAAAACGCCGTATGAACCTTCAGCACTGGAAAAAAACACATTGAATCTAGAGTCCAGACTCTTGAAAACATTGACAAGAAAAATGACTCATGATTCAATCAGATTTAAGCTTAAATCAAAAGGAAATCCGCTCAAATTAAGAGGTTTGGTTCTCGATTTAAGCTTAAATCTGATTGAATCAAGAGTATTTTTTCTTGTCGATGTTTTTAAGAGTCTGGACTGCTGATCCAATGCGTTTTTTTCCAGTGTATTAAAAAATACACTCGCAAATGTGGCACCGCCGATGCGAATCATCAGAAGTCTCAGTTTCCAGCTTTCGATGAGGGCGATTTCCACACGACGTCGCGCTTCTTTGTCTGCCAAGTCAAAGGATTTTTAATTTAGGGAAAAACTTGCGCCTATTAAGGGATGCTTTTCATGCACCCGCCGCGAGAAGGCGCTGAGCAACAGCCATAAAAGTTCCCCAACTCGGCTGCGGGGAAAACAGGAAAATAAACTTTTGCTGTCAGCGTCCTTTCATCCGGGAAGAATCGGGTGTTCCGACTCTCGAAGCCTCGAAACACTGTTATTGAGCAGTTCTCAGCCATTAGCGGCAAACAAAACTTCCGGGAGCATCACTCCTCGCCCGGAGCGTCGATAGAGGTCGATCCTTGAATCCCTCTCGAATGATCGTTATCGATAGAAAGCATTGTTGGGATAGGGATGTATCGATCGAGATTATTTCATAACGATTCAACGATCGACCTGCTGAGAAGAATTAAAATTCCGGGGGGTTGCGCCCTGAATCGAATCAAAAGGTGGATTAGTTTAAGTCGGTCGGCGTCTTTCTTCAGTCCCGTCCTCGATTTTTGTATTACAGGACGTGAACCAAAACGTTGAATAAAATCTGTGCTGGTCTTTTTACGGATGGCAGATTTTTGAGACACGGAAACGTATCAATCAGGAATTTGTGAACTGAACGGGCCTGTTCAAATAACTTCTAACTTTGTGCTTTTATCACGTAAGCACAATGTTTGTGTTCGCGTCGTTTCTTTCGGGCAGAATATCACAAGCGCCATCTACTTTAGGGAGAGCATTTCACAATTGTTTTGATTTTTTCTTCAAAGATTTGCATATTCTGTCATGAAAATCCCAGGTATTAATCTTAATCACAAGAGGAGTGATGGGGGAAATTTTCAAGTGATTCCGTTCATTATTTATTTTTTTTAACATTTTTGGTAACATCGTGCCGATGCGCTGATGGCGCTCGTGATATTCTGCCCGATAAGTTATTTGGCTTCCTGTAGGAGCATAATTAATGCGCAGTAGGAAATTCAAAAAAATATGGAAAATTCTTACTTTCCACTTCGCATTTGAAAGGAAAGTTTTTATTTTACCCCCCTTGGTCAAACAAAAAGTAAATATATAAAGTCAGGAAACAACGCTGTATGAACCTTCAGACGTTTCCATATTTCCTCCGATGAAAAACGAATTTACTGAAAAAGTTCTAAATATTTTTCCTCAGATAATTTTGTTTAAAATATCAAATAATGTTGAGGGAAAATATGCATAGCTCTCTTCAAAAATACTCGCTGTACCCGGAGAAATTTGGCAACTCTCAAATTTCCATTCGGCATTCCTCCTTAGCCCAGCAAAATAAATTCCTTCGTTTGAAAAAAGTATGTTTCTGCTCCAGAAAATATGATTAAAAGAAACACTTAATTTCCACCTTTTGAGTGAATGAAAAAAGTATTTTTCTTTGCACTTTAAAGAAGAAAAAACTCATTTGAAAAGACCATAACGTTTAACGTTCAGTAAAATCGATTTTTTTTTTTTGTTCGTTTTGGAGGATGTTCTTACCTCCTCGATTGTCGAGCGAAATCCAAAGAATCGGAGTCCGAGAAGAGGATATCCACGTCCAACTCGAATCCACGGAGGGGGGACGTGGCTCCAGGGGGGCTGAGGGGGACGCTGTAGGGGGAGGAGTGGAAGGTGACGAGCATGACCGGGCCCCTGGAGACGATCTTGGGGAGCCAGTCGCCCCCGCAATACTTGACGAGCAGGGGGTCGTCCGTGGAGGCGCCGTCGTAGAACATGAGGTGGTCCCTTTCGCTCGTGCAGTCCTCCCACACCCGCAGTCGCCTCTCCGTCCGGTTCGTCCCTGCCTGGACGCCCGACGTCCCTCCCGTCGCCGACGCCGACGCTCCCTCCCGCAGGGACCGGATCTGCATCTTATGTCCGTTGTCCTGCCGCACCGAGATCATGGCGTGCTTGCACGTCGGCACCTTAAAAAAAATCAAGACACCTTGAAAAATCCTATTGTGCTACATTGAGAAAAACTATGATTAAAATGGACCAGTAGACACGGTACGAATTTAAGCATTCTGATACATGTTTCTTAACCACAATTTCACGTAAAACACGATTCGCGCAACAAAAATTATTGAAACCAACTCCTACCGGAGATATTAACATCTTTATTTCACATTGGTTACGAGGAAATTGAACTGCCCGCTCACAAGAAACCCAAAGCTCTACGCGAGTCAAAGCGCGCACTACAACGGTTTCAGCAAGCTTCTCAATCGAGCAATGTTCATTTCCATGTGTTTTTCAAACTATAAGTAATTTTCTATAGCTGAGCCAAAGTGTCAAGATTGAGGTTGCTAGATTTTTTTTATCGCAGAGACGTTCATGATAACGTTTAGCGCGCGATGTGAATCACGTAGAGCGCTGAGTTTTCATGAACGAGTGGTTTCAATTCACGCACCAAGAATCATTAAATATCTTCGGAAGGAGTTGATTTCGGTAATTTTCGTTGTGCGCATCGTGTTTTATGTGAAATTTTTGTGAAGAAACATGTATCAGAATGCTGAAATCGTACCTGGTCTAGTGGTCCATTACCATTTTAGCCAGAAAAAACACAAAACAATGCTATCGTGCAAAAGAAAAACGCCGTCAGAACCTTCAGGCGTAGCCAAATTTCCTTCGATAAAACACGAATTTCCTGGTAAACTTATAAAATATTTCTCGGATAATTTTCCTCACAATTTCACCAAAAAGCTCGGAAAATTTCAAGGGGAAATATTCATAACTTTCCCCAGAAATGAGCATTCCATCGAAGGAAATTTGGCAACTCTCGAATGTTCTTACAGCGTTCTTCCTCAGCACGGGAGAATTGGTAAACAAGGCTGAAAACGGAGACAAAAACCCTGGGACTCTTCTGAGATTGTATCTCAATCAACTTTTCGGTAAGAACAGCTGGAAATTGCTCACGAGACTCGGACTTCCCTTTGGAGCTGGTGGAGTCTCCTATATCCTCCAGCGGGGCGATTATTGAAATGATATCGACTGTATGTCGCCGCTTTGTCGTGTCGCGCCATCGACTAAGCAATTGCTTAGTCGATGGCGCGACACGACAAAGCGGCGACATACAGTCGATATCATTTCAATAATCGCCCCGCAGGTGGTGTGTCTATTTGTAGCCCATTGGGCCCTCTCTATACGGAGCCCCTCTGCCCACTCATAAAATGCTCTTAGTTTCACGGCCCATGGCAAACATATGCAGTACATAGAGTCATAATGTAAAAGGGAGAGCTGGCGCCACTTTTAAGCATTTTCCAGGTCCCGAATTCCGAGACTCCTGTGTTACGCCGGGTCACTCTTTCGATACATAATCGATTGTTTGCGATACACGGGGACCCGGCCATCCGACGTAAACAAAGAAGATAGGAATTACTGCGTGTTTTACACCGTTGTTTTGGATCGAACAAGTATCGAAAAAGTGACCGAAGCTCGGCACACACCGGGCTCGGAACTCATCGACCAGAACATGGCGCCAGCCCTCCCATTTACATTACGGCTCTATACTCTATGGGCAAACAGTAGACTCTTGGAAGTATAAGTAAGGAGCTGACCTTCTTCTGGCGGATGGTGAGATAGCAGGTGACGTTGCGGGGGTAGATGCCAGGGTAGTTGGGGGACTGGATGCGGCAGCGCTTGAAGTAGCACTCGTAGAAGTTGCGGGAGCAGTAGGTGCCGGGCACGATGTCGCCGCGCTCGAGGGGGGCGGCGAGGGTGCCGAAGCGGACAACGGCGGCCTCGTCGCCGACGAACTTGTAGCGGAGCCGGAAGGAGAACGGCGGGGCCTGGGTCCCGGAAGGGGGCTGGAAGAGACGCAGCGTGATGGTCACCGTGGAGGTCTCCGTGAAGTAGACGGCCGGAGCGGAGGCGGCGCCGCACCAGAAGCCCCCCGTGAACGGCCGCCCGAGCTCCGAGAGCTGCATGTGACCGTCCGGACAGCCCTCCGGGCTAGCCGCCTCGTAACGCCCCAGCTCGAACGACTCGAACATCAGCTGCAACACAACGCCAATTTCAAGATTTTAGGTTAGACACCAACAGTGAAATAGCCAGAGACAAGAGACCCTCCACAGTCCACTGGCTTCTTGGCGACAGGTGGAAGCTTTTACTTTCGGGGATTCAACAGTTCCTTATTATGGACAATGATAAGGGAGCAACAGTCATCACCTTAATTTCGACTGTCGACCTACCCACATGGTAGATGATGAGCTTCGGGTGACGTCATGAACCGAACAAGTTTCCCAAACTTCGGCCATTTTCGGCTTATTTGCAAAACGAAACCGCCAACACGTTGTTAAACACCAGCCATGTAGGTAAGTCAACAGTAGAATGCTGAAGTCCCGATAGTAAAAGCTTCCACCATGGCCAAGATACTAGTGGAGGGTCTCTTGTTTCTGGTAATAGCAAGTAATGAATGTAGGATCCGTAAATGAAGCCTTGATCATCGCATTATTTTATGGACAATGGACCACTAGACAAGGTACGGAGTTAAGCATTCTAATACATGTTTCTTCAGCAAAACTTCACTTAAAACACGACTCACAGAACGTAAATTACTGAAATTAATTCGTAATCAAGATATTTAATATTTCTTGACGCGCGAATCACACCTTCCGCTCGTGAAAACGCAATAATCTACTTCAGTCAAATCGCGCACTACACATTCTCCTGATAGTTTCTGCGGCATGAAAAAATGAGAACTTTGATCTTGGCGCTTCGGTTCAGCTATTGCACGTTGTTTACGCTTTGAACAACTCAGGATAAGGATGGATCATTGCTCGATCGAGAGGCTCGCCTTCTTCACTGTAGTGCACGATTTGACTCACGTAGATTTTTGAGTTTCCTGTGACCAATGTAAAATAAAAAACGTTAGTCAGGAGTTGGTTTCAGTAATTTTTGATGCAAGAATCGTGCTCTACGTGCAATTTTAGTTTAAAAAAAAAACATGTATGAGAATGCTTAAATTCGCACCTTGTCTATTGGGCCATTTTTTTTTAATCTCGACTAAAATTCAGCATTACCTAGACCTCCAAAAATGAATCATCACAAGGGACTGCGATGCTCTGGACACTTACTTATGCAAAAATAAAACATGTATGTTTTTTTCTAGGCTGTTACAGATATTTTTTCATCTCGGGTACTGAAGCAACCTTGGATGCGCAATGAAATTTTGTTTGTCGAGTTTATCCATATCGTGATCGTTTAGTTTTAGTACATCAAAATATCTTCTAAGCAGTAGTTTTAGAGCCGTTATAGAATCCTGGGATATTCTATACATTGCTGAGAAGTGTTACGGAGGATCAAATCAGGACATTTCACGAAATAAAATCTCCCCGAAACGGGAGATTCCACGTCCGAAACCAAGAAAAAAAACTCTTTTCTTAGCCTCGCCTTTTTGGAGCATTCTTGATCGCGAATGAGCCCATCACTAGAAACAAAAATGGCGACGGGGGCTCCCCCGGGTTTTTCTCGCCGGTGAACATAATTCGGAACAATTTCCATTAATAATACCTCATTTCGTTGGTCCTCTGACGTAAAGGCGTAGCTCGATTTCTGCATGAGCTCCAAAAAGCACGGATGTATACGTAAAACAAGGCTCACGTTTAAGTTGAGGTACGCGCTTACGTCAAAGTAGGGACGATTTTTGTCTCGGGCGACCGACAGGCATTCGCGGGAGCGACGGGCGGACAACAAGGAAGGAATGCATAATTGATCGAACAAAGGAACGTGGAAAAATGAGCGGTTGACGATGAGGAGCAAAGGGGGCAGGAAAGGGTGGCATAAAAAAAAATCATCATTTGCGACTGCAGTGAAGCTGAAAAAGCCGAGGAGGGAAAATAATGACAGGAAAGGGGGTATGCAGTGTGGGGAGGGGAGGGGGGTTATCTGCTGTGAAGCTCCTCGTCAGGAAATGTTGTCCGTGCACGCTACACAAATAAAATACCACTTCACTTGACAATTATTTAGGCGGGGATGGAGGAGTTTTGAGGTTGCATCATCCGGGATGCCGTGCTGCATCCAGCGAAATTCTCAAGCTTCTAGGGCATGTCAGAACGTATTATAGTAAGGAAAGAGCTAAGCATGATCGTGTTGGTACACATCGATGGCTCGATACACTGATAAAAACATTTGTGTTCTAATGTTGCTTTTGGTTAATATAGGAAGTGAAACACAAAGCAACACAAAGTATGTGTTGACTTCGGTACAGTTTGCGATGAATTGAGCGCAGAAAGCAGTGTAGAGACTGGAAAAATGCATTCCTCCGATTGCGACGTTGGAATTCACCACTCGTTTTTTATTTGATTTCTGCAAGAGAACTAGCTGGCATTTGCTCTTGAAATTGTCAACCAGAGGCTAGGGTTGTTTTGTGTTTTACTTCCTCTAATAACAAAACTTTAGAAAATTAGACTTGCTGCACGGAAAAAAAATGGATTGCTGATTTAACAATTAAATTCTTAAAAATATGTCCAACATGTTTCATATGTACATTTTACAATAGTGGAAAGCTAATTTATCCACGGGGGTGGTTAAATTAGCATTGTTTTATTGTAAAATCTACATTGAAACATGCCGGTCACTCTATTTAACTACAAAATTGTTAAAGCAGCAATTTCATTTTTTCCGTGTGAGGTTGCCTCGTGTGGATCACCAACAGGACCTAGTGGAAGCAACTATATGATATGCACACACTCCAGAAAAAAAAAAATCGAGCAGTTGCATTTTAAAAACATGATTTGAATTTTCAAACACACCTTTACTGAAAAATTAACGCGAGAAGAACTACTTCGTTTACTTATTAGTGCCATAGGGCGTAAAATTGAATTTTAATCTAAAACTTTGAGCTCCTGGAATAGGTTATTACAACTTCATGAAATCTTTTTTAAAAAGTAATTTTTGAGACAACATATAAAGCTGCATAACTCTGGTTAAGTTGATTTTTTCACACCAAAACTTTCGAGAAACATTGCCCTGCCTAAGCATAGTGGTATCAATAAATTTATTAAAAGAAAACTATATTGGGACTCTTCTCTCTTTCACCGTGGAGGTCGACTATCAATTTATCAATGGACGATTGCATCGACAACACGATTGACTCATTGAACGATTTGTAATTTTTGGCGATTTGTACGATTTAGCCATCAAAGCAAGATTCATTGATCGCAAATAAAATTTATTGTTAAAAGCAGTAATCACGTCAAATTATTACAATTCAATCATACATGTACTCTTCCTCAACACAGGAAGAAACTGAAATTTTGCGATATTAATGCGATTTTTAGTTATGATTGAACGTTGCATATCGACGGTGAAACTACCAAACCACGTATCTCGTTTGCGGTGTTTAAAAATCTACGCTCACATTTTATTTTTTGGAAGTAGACCAAATCAATATCATTCCTTGAAATTTTCACAGAATTTTCTCCGCGCGAAGAGGAAAAATCACAGAAATTTTCAAGACTGGACGTTAAATAGTTTTTCATTTAAAAAATAAAGTATGACAGGAAGTCTGCGACGTCGTAAACCGAGATACGTGGTTTGGTTGTTTCACCGTCGATATGCTCTCTTAATGAAGGAGCTGATATTATCGTAATTCCATTCGTATGGGTTAGATCAATACACTACCTTGATATTGAGGCAAGTTGCTATACTTTAGATCGATTATCCATGATTTACTTAAACTAAAGACAAATTGTATTATCACCTTTTTCTCCGAGTCAACATGAGGCTTGTATCGTGACATAGCAACACGACCACTTTTAATGCTAATATTTTGGAATGGAATTTTGAGTGTTATTCATCCCGCATCGTATAACTTTAGAGTATATTTTGGGTACTTTCGGGTGCAGAGAGGGAATTTCTTGGTTGCGGTGTCTTAGAATCTCTGTTAACGTTTAATCCACTATGATTGAAGCAAATGCATGGAATTAGTTAGGACTTTTACTGCGTGTTTTTCATAATTTCATAATGCTGAAAACTAAAAATTTCAGAAAACTCACCCGATAGTTTCCTTCCTAAAATATAAATTAGCAATGAAGACTTTTCCACATCGCAATCAAGAAATGCCCTTTTTGCATCCAACTCATAGATTTTTGGAATGTGTGTCTCTTAGCCGTTAGTCTGAGGCGTAATTTTCCAATCTGTCCAAATCAATCTCTCTGCTTTGAATTTGAAATCTATCAATCGCACCTAATAAATTGCGCAAAAGCTGAGCATCAACCTGAATATGTGCACAAACTTGATCCTGTGTCACCCTTCGTTTATCTAGAGACCAAGAGACAGAACAGCGGGTCGATCGTTTAATCGTTCTCGAATGAACCTGATAGATGAATCTCTATCTTAGCACACTGAAAAAAAATCTCGGTGTATATACTAAGAAAAGGGTAAAATTACCAAGAATTCAGGGTTCTATTTGATCCCAGTTTTTTCTTGGTAAAATTACCATTTACGGAAGTGGTCTCGGTAAAATTATTGAACTTTCTCGGTAATTTTACTGGAACTTGGTAAAAACGCCAATATTTTTTATCGACTGTGGTAGAATTACCGAGATAAAATGGCAAAGTTACCAGCAATTGATTACCAATAAAAGAGGTATTCTTTCCTGAAAAAAACAGTAAAAAACAGTGGCGGTCTTTAGGTAAGCTCACCAGTCTGTCTTGGTAAAATTACCAATAATTGGTAAAAACAGTGAGATGGTAAAGGTACCAATGGACCTTGGTAAAAACGCCGGGAATTATTTTTCAGTGCAATGCTTTTTATTGATCAAGGTCATTCGATATCGATTCGACGGTTGAGCCGCTAACGAGATAAATCGGTCACCTCGTTAAGAAGTCAGGAAATGCCTGCCTTTCGAATTGAATGAGAACCGACGGGGCATCGATCGAAAACCTAGATAGCCGTCCTCTCGTCTTACGGACTCGCTGACCTAGACGGATGATTCGCATCGCACCACGTCGGCGGCGTCAGTGGCTAGGCGTCGTCGTCGAAGCACTTAGCG